GTTGTCCAGTATGTTTGTTTTTGGGAGATAGTAGTCTGGCTCCTTTGTCCACATAAACAGGCCCGTTTGGAATTCAATTTCAACTTGTTTTTTTTTTTAAAAAATTAAATTAATTTTTATTTTAAATTATATTTTAAGTATTTTTAAATTATTTTGATGTGTTAATATTAAAAATAAATTTTAAAATAAAAAATATTATTTTAATATATTTTTAAATAAAAAACATTTTAAAAAATAATATTTACCATACTTACAATTACATCCTAAATAAACTTTTTCATGCTTGTCGGCTGCTAATTAACTTTGCCTTAATCTTACCTGAAAAATTAAATTAATTTTGCACCATCAATCTTTTTTTCTTCGATTCATTTCATTATGCTAACAATAGCTAGCGGTCAACTAATATAGAAAAATGAATCTTACCTACGCCTATGCGTCTGAGCTTTTTGCTAATAAGTTCATAAATTTTTAGTATTTTTTTGGTTTTTTGAGCTTTTTTATTTTTATAATTTTATGATTTTAATATTGAATTTTTATTAAATTTTATCATTTTATTATTGGGTTAGTTATAAATTATTTTTTTGTATTTTTTAACATATAATAAAATAAAAAAAAAATAATTCAATTTAATAGAGTTTATAATTTAAATAATGAGTCAACTAAAATGAATCATATATTTTTTGTATTTTTTGGAGATGCTCAATAGACAAGATTATGTCATGACAGCTCTCCTATAATTTAATTTAAAATTTAAACTAATTAAAAAATTATATAAAATTTATTCAAGTTTAAATTATTATATTAAATTTAATAAAAATATTAAATAGTTTCTTTGCCCATCCACAGAAAGCACTTGGAAGATAAACCAGTTAGAAACCTAGATTGAATGTGTCTATCAATTATCAAACTTATTGGCTGATTATAGTAGAAAGATCATTAGCCCTTGTTTGGCGGTGGGAGGTTCAAAATTCATATATAAAAATATATGAAAATGTGCATACCAAGACCAAATAGACTAGTCGTTGCCTTGCAGGGACGCCTACCTTGAAGAAACGCGATATTGAAAGAAAAGTCCACGAAAACCACAAATCGTTTACGGAATCTCGCATCATCAAAGTTACCACACTTCTCTACCGCCTGATGTGCGCCGTCGCGTTCTATTGGTGGTGTTGAAGAAAACAATTTCTCTACCCTAACCCTCTCCTTTTGAAATTCCAACACTAATTACAAGATGCCCACTCCTACTCCTCTGCTATGCCTCTATATAAAAAGAGCGCTAAACAAGCAGCTGAGAACAAGAAGCAGGTAAAAATAATCTGATGGCAAGCACAGAGCAGGTGAAGCTTTTGGGGTTCTGGGCTAGCCCCTTCGCTCGCAGGGTAGAATGGGCTTTGAAGCTTAAGGGTGTCGATTATGAGTACATAGAGGAAGATATATTCAACAAGAGTACTCTGCTCATGGAGTTAAATCCTGTCCATAAAAAAGTTCCGGTGCTTGTGCGTGGCCGGAAAGTGATCGCCGAGTCATTTGTTATTCTTGAGTTTATAGATGAGACATGGAAACAATGTCCACTGATGCCTCAAGATCCTTACGAAAGAGCCATGACACGGTTTTGGGCTAAATTTGCTGAAGAGAAGGTGATTGATTATTGCTTAGCATTCGCTTGATTTGTTAATTGCTTGATTTTTAATTTTATTAGTATTTGATATATTTAATTAGTCAACATTTTGTGTCGGAAAGATACTTGCGATGCCAGTTTGAAGAGAGACACAGATATATAGAATTAATCATATTGAATTCTATCAAAAATTAAAAAAGAAAATCATATAGAATTAAAAATTATTTTCTTTTTTCTTTTTCTCTTTTCTCCTTATATCTATCATTTTTTATTATTTATTGCACATCGTGAAATTATTCTGTAGTTCGGCAATAAAAGGGATTTCTTAAAAATATTATTTTTTAGTGGAACACGTTAGTGATTACACTTGATTTTTCTTTCTTTTTGTAATGTTAGCCATCAGGACTTTATTGCAATTAAAATCCAATTTTAAACAAAAATTTAAACGTAGATGAGAAGTGGATGTGAGTCTGTCATGTGGTATTATATATTTTTAACAGCTCTATATAAAATTAAATCATAGAAAAGTATACTTTTAAAAAAAAAATGCATTATCAAATATATATGAGAGTTGGGAGATAAATCACCTAAAATAAAAGGCCCAACAAATCTCAAAGATTGTTTTATCTCCATGAACTTCTTGATTGATCCTCGCAACAATCAAATGTGGGTGTGCGATTAAACATTAGGGTTTGGATTTTGCAATGCCAATATTTCAATTAATTTCCTATTTTTCTGAAGATTCTGGATGCTGCATGGATTGCAATGTGCTCCCTGGGAGAGGAGAAGGAGAAGGCATTAAAACTGGCCGTTGAAGCCATGGAAAAGATAGAGGGAGAGCTAAAAGGGAAGCAATTTTTTGGAGGAGAGAACATTGGCTACCTGGACATTGCAATGGGATGGATGTCTTACTGGCTGCCAGTGTGGGAAGAAGTTGGGTCCATGAAGATAGTAAATGCTCTGCAATTTCCAGCAACAACTTCATGGATGAACAAGTTTCTCGACCATCCTGTGATCAAGGAAAACTTACCACCTCGAGACAAGATGATCATTTATTTCCAGAATCGAAGCACAGAGCTTGCTTCCAGGCCTCATAACTGGTTTCGGACTTGATGGCCTTTGGGCATATAATTATGCCTTTTGCTTCCCTATCAGAATAAGTTTAGAGCTGAATTATATTATGCAATACAAGTTGAATAAAGGGGCAACCTCACTTTAGTCCCTAACTTGTTACCCTTTTCTCAATTAGATCCCAGCCTATTTTCTAATCAAATATATCCTTTTAGAAATCCTCAATCAAGTTCTTGTCTTCTTAGAGTTATCGTAAGAAAAATGGCATAAAATGACGTCTTTTTATTTCATAAATTACAAAGCTTAGATGAGACACGTGAAGGAGAATCAATTGAGAATTTCTGGTATTTTAATGATCAAATTAATATAAAATAAGCTTGATGACCTAATCGAAAATTGATGTATAAATTGGGGACCAATAAGAGGTTACCCTAAATATAAAACGCTACATTATCCCTAATGCTTGCATTGATAAGGAAAGAGTTACTTGAGATAGCTTTCTTCTCAGACTGCTTTTTGAGAAGGGATGTTAATAGATCATAGCTTGAATTTCTATTATTCATCATGTAGAAAGAAAAGATAAAATATAAAGGATAATTAAATTTTTTCTTTTTTTTTTTTATAATTGAGAATAATTCCTAAAATCATTTGGTAACAAATCAAATGTGGATAGTTTTATAGTAGAATAACTATGTTACATGTGCACATGTAAAAAGGTTTTATATATATATATATATATTGTGCACATGTAAAAAGGTTATATATAGTTACTTGAAAAATTATGCTAAAAACTATTCCAAAAAATCGAAACAAATCCGATGCATGTCTCTATGGTGACTTGCTTTTCTTAATGAAAGGGAAATAAAAAGAAAATTACTTGGAGTAAATTTTTTATAAATTTCATAAATTAGTTGTGAACGGTCTCTGTATATTTAATTGGGTTTACAGATGCATTTCGTATTGTATCAAAGCTGGTTTTTAAAATGCTACATAGGCATAGAAAAAAGGGGAAAAGGGAGAGGAATTGAGTTTTAATGTTAGCTAGATAATTCACTCGTGTAAAACTGGAGGTCGGATCAAATTTTTATAGTAAAGAAATATTCAATTGTTATTAATATTTATTTTAGTAGAAATAAATTGAAATGCACGAGAATGGATACAACATGAATTGTTTACTTTGACATATTCAAAAATAATTTAAATAACTACTAAAATTATATTTTAATTTATAATAAATATTTAAGATGAAATTTTATATATATAAAAAAATAAAATGATAATACATTGGATTCATTTGAATTGGTCTTGGTTAAACCTTCAATCAGCATACCAACTCATAAGATAACAATAACCTTATAGAAAATAAATTAAAATAAATTATAAAATTTAATTTTTAATAAACTCAATGTTAAACAATAAAATTAAAATAAAACCCAAAATAATAACATGCGTTAACTTGCTAAACCTGTCACTTGGATTATAAGACAAAAATAACTTAATATAAAATAAATTAAAATAACATATGAAGTTTAATTCTCAATCATTTTTGTGTTGAAAGATAAAATTAAAAAAAAACTATTAAATTTTATAATTTGTTTCCGTTTGTTTTTTATAAGGTGTGATAACCTTATAAAAAACGAACCGAAACAAATCATCAAATTTAATTTTTTATTGATTCAATGTTGAAGAATGGTATTAAAAAAAATCAATTAAAATAAAAAAAACTCAAATCTATTAATTTAACTTATCAAATTCATATTCTTAATCATGAGTCTAAAATAAACCCATTAAAAAATTATCAAGCTTAAATCTCTAATAAATCTAGTAAAAATAATAATAATAAATAAATAAATAATGCTTTATAAAGGAATTACCCTCTCTTTCAAGTGTTTTTTTAGTATTGAAAATGATTCCTAAAATCATTTGGTAACAAATCAAATGTGGGATACCCAAATAGAATATTAATTTATAGTTTTACAGGAGAATAACTTGGTGTTTGTTTAGGGTAATTTTGCTAAGTGTATTAATATTAAAAATACATTTTAAAAAATAAAAAAATTAATATATTTCTAGCTAAAAATATTTTTAAAAAATAATACATGTTACAGCTGCTGGGTTTTTGTGTTATGGGCCTTGGGCCCGCTTTGTATTTGTTTTTTCTTGGTGATTGAAAAATCTATATAAGAAAAAAGAAGAAGAAGAAGCCATTTCCTTGACGAAGTTCAAGGTGGTTTCGAGTCCTCCATCCAGGCGCTATCTCGCCCACGGAACAGAATTAGAGGATGCGTATTTAGTTACATTCAACTCCTCGCCTCTGTTTTTAATTTCATATCAATTGACTTTCCATATTCTTCTTTCTTAAGCAAAATAAAAATATCGATACTTGATTTTCCAGGAAAATTATAGTCGTAGCTTCCCCGGAGAGTACCGCTCCGATTTACCTCTAAATAATACGAGAAGAGAAGAGAAGGCAATACAGGAAGGAAGGAACCCTTCATTTTTGTTTGTTGGTGATATAAAAAAGAATGGGGCAACAGCAATCAAAGCACGAGTTGCTGTATCAGCAAGTGAAAAACAACAACATAGAAGGAATCAAAAAACTTTGCAGGGAAGGCGCTCGCCTCGAGGTTCCGATTATTCCAATCATTTTATCTTTCGCCTTTTATTATTTTTTTAAATAAAAAAACAAAATAAAATCTAATTGGTTTTGTTCTGCAGTGGATTGATCACGAAGGAAAAACACCACTGATAGTGGCTTGTTTGGATCCTCAACTTTTTAACGTGGCTAAAACGTTGGTTGAGCTCGGTGCTAACGTTAATGCCTATCGCCCCGGTATCCCTTTCTTTACTAATTTAAATGTTCATTTGCTTTCTTAATTTTTCAATTAAAAGAAATTAGTTCGTTCTTAATTAGTTTAGTGCTCCACTACATAACAAAACAGGTTCATTTTCGAATATATTACGGTAAAGGATTTTTTTTTTTAAGGAATTGCCTCTGCCGTCGGATTCTTGATTAACGTGTTAAGTCTATTACGGTAAAGGATTTTTTTTTTAAAGGAATTGCCTCTGCCATCGGATTCTTGATTAACGGGTTAAGTCTGTTTATGAGTATTATTATTATTATTATTATTATTATCGAGCTGTAGGTCGAAGGGGGGGGACGCCCTTGCATCACGCGGCAAAAAAAGGTCTTGAAAATACTGTCAAGTTACTTCTTTCACATGGAGGTGAGGCGAGCGAGATTAGATTGGATGTAGTTATTTTTTATTTAAAAATTTATTAAAATAATTATTTTTAATATTAATATAGAAAATTAATTTTAAAAAACTACAAAAATACTAATTTAAAAAAAAATTATTTTTTTTTAAATATTTTTGAAACGTAAAAACAAATAGATAAATTTTTTTTAAAGTGATTTTTTCTCAAAAATTTATTAAAATAATTTTTTTATTTTTAAAAAGTTATTTTTAACATTAACTTATTAAAATAATTTTAAAACACCAAAAAAATTAATTTAAAGTAAAAAATAAAATTCAATTTTTTTTCTAAAGCAATTTTTAAATGTAAAAATAAGCAAATAATAGTTATTTTTTAAAGTATTTTTAACTTGAAAATTTATCAAAATAATTATATTTTTTTAAAAAATTATTTTTAATATTAATGCATCAAAATGATTTAAAAACACCAAAAAATATTAATTTAAAATAAAAAATTTAAATTCTTTGAAAAGAAAATAAATAGGTAATAATTGTTTTTTAAAGTATTTTTTACTTGGAAGTTTATCAAAATAATAAATTTTTATTTAAAAAATTTTTATTTTTAATATCAGTCTATTAAAATAATTTAAAAATATTAATTCAAAGAGAAAATAAAAAATTAAATTTAAAAAAAATAGTTTTAAAATATATAAATAAATTGTTAATTTTTTTGCAGCTATATGGGTGTGTTTTATTAAGTGTTTGTTTCTTTTTAATTTTCAGCAAATGCATTAATGACGAATGATGATTGCGAAACTCCTCTAGAGGTTGCTAGGGCAAAAGGGTACGTCAATGTTGTCCGGGCAATTGAGGTATGCTTAACAGTTCTTGCTGTGATGTTGTAACTACTTCGTAACCGGGCAGCGTGGGAGAATAATTTCTGTTACTTACCATTTAAAAAGATTTCTTCCCCTCTAATTCTTTGCAGAGTCGCATTTGCGTATTCTCTGGTTGGTTGCGGGAGCTTCATGGACCTGGATTTCTAGAAGTAGTGGCACCTCGGTTGGCTTCAAGGAACAAGTGGGTATCATTTTTATTTGTTGTTTTTTGCTACTCCTTTCTAAGTTACGGAATATGTTATCTGGGGTTTGTAAATATAGCTGTGGTCATTTTTAAAAATTATTTTTTATATTTGTGTACTAAAATAATTTAAAAATATTAAAAAAATATTAATTTAAAATAAATAAATAAATTTAAATTTTTTTAGAAATACTTTTAAACCAAAAAAACCAAAAAAAATAATTTGAAATGACTTGTGTCGTGTAACATTTGCTATACAGCTAAATATTGTACTCAAAGAGCACTGGATTTGTTATGTCTAATAGTGTCACGGCTTGTGCAGATGGGCTGTTGTTTTGCCTACTGGTTCCCGTGATCATGGAACGCCTTGCAAGTTTGAGCTTGCCATGTATTCTAGTTTGCAGGTACGACAAGTAAAATTTTCTAATTTGCAAGAAATTGGATACCAAATTCACATTCATTGTTAAAATTTTATAACGATGCAGGCTTTTGTTTTTGTGCTGCCTTTGAGAGTTTTTTTTTGGTTCTAGGCTCTGCTGTAATGATACTTGTATTTTTCTTTAAGCTTTTGGAATACTTGTCCGGCACATTCCTGGTTTGCATCGATGGTTTATCTTCATTCCTGTTTATATCATAAATAGTTATCAGGTACTACATGAGAGTTGACATGGTCAAGAAGCCATGTCTCCGGTTTACGGATTGATACAAATCAACCAAAATTAATTTTAAAAAATTAAAAAATATTTATAATTTTAATATTTTATATAAAAAAAGTAAAAAATAATTTATGTGAATATATATTATACTTGTTATAAATAATGAAGTTTATATTATAGTTTTTTTTTTGTGAACATAAATGTACATGCTAAAAAGTTTTAAATCTCACATTAAAAAAATAAAATATTATTTTAGTATTTATATAATGAATTTTGAAAGAAATTAAAAAACAACTAAAAAAACTGGATTTCAATTGAGTTTTGCTGGGTCAATCTTGTTTTTGCTTATCTGGGTTTTTTTCCTCATCCCGCTAGTCTAATCAGAGTTTAATAGCAATGATTTATACACATTGATGGGCTTTCTAGCAATGTTATGGGTTTTACCAAAAACACACTTTTATTATAAAATTTATCTGGTTCTGGATTCATTATGGCTATAGCTATACTTGTTAACCTTCCATGTATTTAATCGATACAATGTGGTGGGAAACAATAAATGTTGTTTGGCTCTACAGGTGGAAATAGAAGCTCAGGTTGAGACTTAAATTAATGGAATATATCCCTCTAAAAACCCCGTGTGAGTGCCTCTACATGTGAGTGAGACACAAGGTTATTGTTCCTAGCTAGGCTTGAATCAAAGATATTCTATTATGTTATCCAAGCACCTACACTACTGCTATAAGCTGCTTTAGTGGTTAAAAATGCTGCTATTTTGTTCATTCTAGCTGTTTTCATTGTGTTGAAATAGTCTTCAAAGATGTCAATACTTAATGGCATTCAGAAATAAGAATATCGCAGCATGAGGGTGGTGATGTGTTTAGCTACTGCTTCCACATCCAAGCATGCTTTGCATCAATTACCACTTGAACATTTTGGTGCTAGAAGTTTTCAGAATAGGTTGGGTTTTGGAACCTCTCACTGTGTACTGCATGTTAAAACAAAGCAGACTTTGTTTATGAAGTTGCATGAAATGGGACTGACGACTCACTTTCAACGGTCTCTTCCTTTGATGATAGTATGATATCAGGGTTTTATATCTTAGTTCGTTGTCCTTATTCCTTGTTTGAATTTGTATTCCAATTAGTGTTTGCAAATGTAAGATGTTGCATTCCTATGTTTTAAAGTGCTATATTTTATTCTCTTTTAAGTTATGACTTTCTGGTTCTTGGTAATTTTCTTACATATTAATGGATGACCAGGGTGCTAAACCATGCACGAAAATTGCATTGTGGAAAGCAAATCTGGAAGAACCAAAGTTTCACCACTCCAATCCTACCGTGATGATTGTTGACAACTCCACTAGTAATTTCTCAGTGATGATAACTATTCACGAATCTTTTATTGACATTTGTTGGAGTTGATACCACGTTGGTTTCCTAGTCCCTATATTTACATTGGATTTTTTTATGTCCATGCAAAGTATCAAGAGGCAGGAAGCGGAGACAAGTGAGGTGTAGGCCTCAGACTATGAGGCATAAGTAAGTATGATAAATAATCCTGACAACGTAAGGAACTAGATATCTTTCGAAGTACTCTGGATATAGTGCACCTCGCCATGCTCCTGCCTCCAACCGTGAATTAGACATACCAGATAGCTAGCAAAAAAAAGTTTTTTGATGATTCACCACATCAAAAGTAACTTGCTTTTGTTTAAGATTTAAGTAATCAAAAGTTTTTTAATTTGTACTAATTATTTTATACTTAAACCTGATATGTTTTGTTTTCAGAAACACGCATTAAACTCGCACCAGCAAATAAAAGAGACAAGCAACAGCTTCAGTGGTTTTGTGATGCATGCAAAGGAATGCCACAGGTTCAATTCACACTTGTATAAAGTTCTTCTTTGGTTATAGAGCAATTGATAACTTGTATGCTACAAGTAGATGAGACAATTTTTCAGCTGAAGTATTTGAATGTGCATTTTTTCTTTCCTTTCATTGAAACCATGATAACGTTTGAGGAGTTTTTTTTTTATAACGCTATAATTTCCAATACTAACCAGATTCCAGTATAACTAATGTTAGATGCTATAGCCAAATAAGAAGCCTCCTTGAGAATAGGGTTGTTCTGGAGTCCAGTAGATCCCTTTAGAAGAGGACATGAAAACCTCCCCTTACGGACAATTCTGAGCCTTCTAAAATGGGAGGAATGCATGCTGTTGCAGGGAATTTTGTTGGCTTTAATCGGTTATTTTTGGTTTATTATTGGTTTTCATGTCACCTTGGGTCAAATTGAAAACTCATATTGAAGAACAATACATTGGTTTCAGGTTGGGAGAAACCAAAGCTTAAATGTCTTAAATAACTTGTAACTGTTGTCTCGTTGACATATATTTGTGTATTATGTATTGGAATACTTCCCTTGAGGCTCATGGTCCCCCTTCAATAGTTTATGAGCCCACACTAAACTCCTTTGAAATGAACACTAGTCATTATGCTTTCCTTTGGACAGCTATGAGCCGCTTGGTAGCTCATGCTCAAACTCCCCTGAAATGCACACTAGTCACTACGCTACGGTTATTGTTGAAGAAATGCATTTATTTCTGATTGGTGCTACACTGCTTTAATGGGCGGAAATACTCTGATCGCAAATCCATACGGACTGCTGATTGAGGTTCCTCTTGCACCTGATTAATTGTTTCATATTTAAAATTCTAGCAGTTGATTTGCTTCCTTTAAAAAAGGTTTTTTACTTAAATATGTAGACAAGGATCCTGATGTCACAAGTGTATCTGTTTGGTTGTGATCTGTTAGAGTCTAGATTCTGATCAGCATGTCGAGTGTGTTGCATACCTTCCAATTGAAATTCCCTTGTTGTTTACATATCTATGTATAGAGTGGGAAATTTTAATGTAAAAAGTTGCATGGTCAATAAGAGCTAATATCATTTAGTCAAAGATTTTGTTCATTACAAGAGGACTTGTGACATGAATGCCTATAATGTTACAGGTAATGCATCCTCCACAATTTCTGTCCACATCTCAGAATCTGGCTGTTCAAGCAACTGCTCCACCATCTGATGAAGATCCAGAGATAGCAATGGCAATAAATGCCTCCATTCAGTCTGCCATGGCAGAGCAACCTATTTTTGATACCTACTCTAGCACTGGAGCAAGTTCATCCACTAGCTGGAATTGCGCTGTTAATGCTGGAGGTCAAGGTGCTATGGATGTGCCAGCAGCACCTCCTCTAAAGACAACTAGCCGCGGATGGGCACCTTATGAAGGTGTATCTAGCGGCAGCTCTACTCAGCAAACCAGGATCTTTAATTACAGCGTTGCTGATGTCCAGACAGCAACTGATGCCCAAGATTCAGTCCCATCAGCTCCACCCATTGTTGATGAGAATTTACAAGAAAAAACAGGTGGAAAGAAAGAAGATGGAGGTTCATCATCATGTGTAATATGTTTAGATGCTCCAGTTGAGGGAGCTTGCATTCCATGCGGCCACATGGTTGGATGCATGTCTTGTTTGAAGGAAATCAAAGCCAAGAAATGGGGTTGCCCTATGTGTCCTGCCACAATTAACCAAACTGTAAGGCTCTATGCTGTTTGATTCTTGCTGAAGAATGAAGCTGTAAATGGTAAGTATTTTCTGGGCACCTTAGACAATTATGTTCTCTTTCCTATAGAACAATATATAACCTTAACTCTCTTTTTTTTCTGAATTATTGAACAAGTATACCTTAGTGTTTATGCTTTCAGTAGCATCACTGAAATCCCCTACAGTTTGAAGCTAATCATCCTCCTTCAGCCAACGTAGATCTTACACTTGCTAAATTTTGGGAATTGGAATTATTCTCTCAGGATCTAAACCACACAAGTAAATGCTCTCAAGACTGTTAGGAAGTAGTTGCATTTTCTTTGGGTATAGCTTGATACTAGTTTTTTGGGAGCCTAGTGATTTACTGTGAGACTACATGGGAGTCTATTATCTCCGCATAAATTTTAATGTAGGATCCTGATGAGAGTAAAATTTACTAGAAACAAAAATGCTAAATTGCTGGCAACCGTTTCTGCAGGCAAGTTTGGCAGCGCAAGAGACTTGACAACTTGAGTTGCTGCAGTTAGGCAACTTCTTTTTTTTTATTTACGTGGGGTATTCGGGCCAGCTTGCGCGCACCACAACTAATCTCCACGGCCCACTGAATACCCTGCAAACCCAGCAGACAGATAAGGCACTACGAGGATGACAGGCGTGCACACCAGGGCTCGAACCCATGTGCAGTGAAAGGAGACAAGCCCCTTCAACCGCTAGACCAAATTCCTCGGTGCAGTTAGGCAACTTCTTTGAACATTGTACTCGCGTACTTGTGATTATTAAGACCATGTATGGGTTCTTTAAGGGTACACCTTATGTGAGTCTTTTGTGTATAATTTCTTTGTGTACATATGACGAGATGGCATGGTTTCACCCTACCGTAGGTTTATAAAATAATTAGATAAAATAAATATGTTTGATAATATTATAATTATAAACTAGTAATAAATAATAAAAATTAAAAATATAATAGAATTAATATTCCATGAGAAAAAAAACAAAAAAAAAATAATGTATGAAAACTTTGTAGCAATTCACAGTGTTTTGTAAGAAAAGTTATAATACTTTTCATACATGATTTAGCCTTACTTGTAATTATAATATTAAAAACAATAAAATTAAAAGATAATTTCAAAAATTATAAAAAAAAATCATATGAATTGCTACAATGTTTTTTCAACAAAATCAATAAAAATTATTTTAAAAAAATCATAACAAAAAAACTATATAAAAAAATATTGTAGCAATACACAGTGTTTTGTGAGGAAAATTACAAAAAAATCACATAATTTAGTTTTATTTATAAAAAAAATTATAAAATTAAATTATCAATCAGTTTAGTATTTGAAAAATATTAAATTAATATATTTTTTTTTTGTAAAGAATCTGCAACCATGACACTAATCAAAATCATCTAAGATAAACTTTTGGTTAAAACTTCAATATTCATTGCATTACTTTTGTTCCTTTTTCCTTCAATGTGTTTTAGATTCTTTGCTTTCTTTTCAGTTTTTCCTTTGAGTAAATATTAATTAATACTTTTGTGTTCTTAGCGATATAATAACTTAGTTTCTTTGGTTTAAAAAACCATAACATAGTCCATGCACTGTATACTAATTCTTAAAATGGCCCGTTAGTTTTTATAAAATGACCAAAATATTCCTAGATTTTTTTTTAAATAAATAATATAGGGTCAAATTAATGGATATTCTGGAAAGAAAATAATTAAATTACTGACAGTTTAGGACCTTGTTAATAGACAATTAAGAAAGAGGGTAAGTTATACAAACAAATAAATTAAAAACATAGGGATGTGATATTAGGCTTCAGATAACTTATTCTTTTCCATTTTTGAAGGTTGCCGCCGTTCTCATTTTGCATTCGCCGTTCCTGTCTCCACCATGGCCAATGCACTGCTGGCATTTGACAATCTCGCAAACGGATGCTAGTTTTTCTCCCCTCTTGGTCAGTCTCGGAGAATCAGTTACGTAAATATTAGGAGTGCGAGAAATTATATTTTAAAATATTTTTTATTAAAAAAATGTATTAACAAATATTTTTTTATTTTAAATTTTTTGAATTTATTTTTTATATTAAGACATCAAAACAATTAAAAAAACTAAAAAAATAATTTTAGTTAAAAAATAAATTTTAAACAAATAATATTTCAAAACACTCCCAAATCACATAAAAAATAAGTGTAAAACTAGAAAAAATATATCCAAAAGGAGGCTTGCTTGGAGAGACTCAAGAAAATGATTTTTAAAAAATTATATTTTAATTTTATATATTTATTTGTTATTAAAAAACTTAATGAACAAGAATCACTTTCTATTTAAAAATAAATAAATTGGTTTTCAGAAAAGTGTTTTCCATCCAAAACACTTTTTAAAAGTTATAAAAAATTATTTGCTGATTACATCAAATTTGATCCTTAAACTTTTGATTGCTATATATAATTTGTTTTGAATTTTTTTTTAATTTCATCTCACCTGAAAATTATTTTTTTATTTATTTTTATATTTATTTATTATTGAAAAAACTAATTAATAAAAAATACTTTCTATTAAAAAAAAATTCATTTGATTTTAAAAAAAATTATTTTTTTTTATTTTAAACGAGAAAAACACTTCATATAAGTTATAAAAAAATTTAAAAATATCATATTATTTATTAATTATATTAAATTTGATCTTTAAATTTTTTATTGCTATATTTTTTTTAATTTTTTTAATTTTTTTTTAAATTTGATTTTTATATTAACTTTGATCTTTTTTTTAATAATTGTTATTTACTATTCTCTTATTATTTTTTTAATTAAAATTTTTTATTTATCAAATTTGATCCTCGTTCTTTTGATTATTACTTTTCATATTTGAAATAATTTATAAAATTATAATTATAATTATTTTAATTTAATTATTCTTTAATTTTTTTATCTATTAGATTTAATCTCTATTATTTTGATTATTATTTATTTTATTTAAAATAATTTATAAAATTAAATTTTTTTAATTTTATTTTCATTTAATTTTTTAATTTATAAGATTTGTCCCTCATTATTTTAATAAATTTTAAAAAATATTAATAAGTTATTTTTCAACTCATTTTGCACGACATAATCAAATACTAAAAAAAATTTTATTACACTGTCAAATATAAATAAATAATTTATTTTTTAGTAAAATTATTTTTTCTAAAAAATAAAAGAAAGACTAGAGGGAGGAAACGAACAGCAAGGCGAGGAGATCCTACTTGATAGCTTCGAGCCATAAAACTATTGTACAGAAAACTTTTCTTGAGGAAAAGAATGACTAGAGAAAAAGAAAAGAGACTGCTAGGATTTCTACAATGAATCGCGCAAGTAACTGTCATTCAATGTTAAAGTGTGCGTGTATTCTAGATAAGCTATATGTAATCCTTGTTAAATTCAATTTGCTAGGTTGATTAATTTAGAATATCTAAAACTTATTTTAGGAGTTTCAAGTTAAATCATAAAGATATTCACCTGATAAAATTTAAATAATTAACTAAATTTTCAGTGATTAGATTAACTTAATCAAGCCTAATTGAGTCGACTATAAAAAAATAAAAAATATAAAGAACAATATAGTCTTGATAAAAATATTAATTTAGATTAATCTAGTAATTTATAAGTTCATCTGATGATGACCTGTGATCTTTTTCAAATGACAACTATGTTATATGTGCACATGTAAAAAGGTTATATATAGTTACTTGAAAAATTATGCTAAAAACTATTCCAAAAAATCGAAACAAATCCGATGCATGTCTCTATGGTGACTTGCTTTTCTTAATGAAAGGGAAATAAAAAAAAAAATTACTTGGAGTAAATTTTTTATAAATTCATAAATTGGGTTTACAGATGCATTTCGTATTGTATCAAAGCTCGTTTTGAAATGCTACGTAGGCATAGAAAAAAGGGTAAAAAGTAGAGGAATTGAGTTTTTGTGTTGACTAGATAATTCACTCGTGAAAAACTGGAGGCAGGAACAATTTTTTAAAGTAAAAATAATATTCAGTTTTTATTAATATTTTTTCAAGTAAAAAAAAAACAAGTGGAAATTAATATAATATGACTTGTTTATTTTTACAAGTCTAAAATTAATTTGAATAACCAATAAAAATATATTTTGATTCAAAATAAATATTTAAAATGATGTTTTTTATATAAAAAGTAAAATGACAATAATATTTTTTATATAAAAAGTAAAATGACAATACATCGGATCTATTTAAATCAATCTTGGTTAAATTGTCAATCAACATACTGACTCATGAGATCATGATAACTTTATAAAAGATAAATCAAAATAAATTATGAAACTTAATTTTTAACAAACTCAATGTTAAATGATGAAATTTTTTTTAAAATTAAAATAGAGTCTAAAATAATAATATGTGTTAGCTTGCTAAACCTAATATCCAGATTATGAGACAAAGATAACCCGATATAAAATAAATTGAAATAAAATATAAAATATAATTTTTAGTTAATCCAATGTTTTGAAAGATAAAATTGAAAAAAATATATATTAAAAAATAACTCGAGTTAACCAAGATTAATCTATCAAATTTGTGATCCAAGTTGATAAGCAGGGATAATCTTATAAAAAACAAATTAAAATAAATCATGAAATCTAATTTTTTATTAATTCAATGTTTAAAAATGATATTAAAAAAAATTAATTAAATAACAAAAAAATATTCAAATTAATCAATATAACCAATTAAATTTATTTCCTGAATTATAATTCTAAAATAAACTCGTAAAAAATTTATCATAATCAAATCTTCAATAAACCTAATAAAAATAATTAAATAATGCTTTGCAAGCAGCATTACAGCGAATTCACCTTCTCTTTCAAGTTTCTTTTTTTTTTTTCCTAATTAGCCAAGTAACTTTGCCCGCTCACCAATCCTTAATTTCAATGTCTTATAGCAAGATTAAAAGCAGATCTTGCAGTTAAAGTAGTAATGTGACCATCTTAGTACAAAAACATGGAATGATGCCGATGATTAGGAGATTGGTTAGCATATAATCCAATATATTCCATTGGTTTCTTTAGAAAAAGAGAAAGAAACGACGGATACGGATTTTTGTTTTATTCAATTGCAAGTTACTGAAATTGAAATTGATTCCGCAATCCAACTCCACAAAGCACGTACTTTGTTTTCTGTCTTCTCCAAAATGCTGTCCGCATCCATTTAATACAAGTTGAATAAAGGGACAACCTCACTTTAGTCCCTAACTTGTTACCCATTTCTCAATTAGATCCCTGCCTATTTTCTAATCAAATCTATCCTTTTAGAAATCCTCAATCAAGTTCTTGTGTTCTTAGTGTTATTGTAAGAAAAATGGCATAAAACGACGTCTTTTTATTTCATAAATTACAAAGTTTAGATGAGAAACATGGAGGAGAATCAATTGCGAATTTCTGGTATTTTAATGATCAAATTAATATAAAATAAGCTTGATGACCTAATCGAAAATTGATGTATAAATTGGGGACCAATAAGAGGTTACCCTAAATATAAAACGCTACATTATCCCTAATGCTTGCATTGATAAGGAAAGAGTTACTTGAGAAAGAACAATAGCTTCTTCTCAGACTACTTTTTGAGTAGGGATGTTAATAGATCACCGCTTGAATTTCTATTATTCATCATGTAGAAAGAAAAGATAAAATATAAAAGGATAATTAATTTTTTTATTTTTTTTATAATTGAGAATAATTCCTAAAATCATTTGGTAACAAATCAAATGTGGGGTACCCAAATAGAATATTAATTTATAGTTTATTGTAGAATAACTTGGTGTTTGTTAA